GCATGCACACACTCGCACACACAAGACGACACCAGTCCTGGCATAGCAGGCGTGGCACTTTCTCGACACCATAGGGGGTGCGCAGGGGGTGGTCTCTCGCTGCGGTCTCTATACGCCCCAGTCGTCCTGCTATAACAGGCGTGGCCCCAGCCGTCCTGGCATAGCAGGCGTGGCACTTTCTCGACACCATAGGGGGTGCGCAGGGGGTGGTTTCTCGCTGCGGTCTCTATACGTGCCGGTCGTCCAGGCATAGCAGGCGTGGCAATTTCTCGACACCATAGGGGGTGCGCAGGGGGTGGTCTCTCGCTGCGGTCTCTATACGCGCCGGTCGTCCTGGCATAGCAGGCGTGGCACTTTCTCGACACCATAGGGGGTGCGCAGGGGGTGGTCTCTCGCTGCGGTCTCTATACGCGCCGGTCGTCCAGGCAAAGCAGGCGTGGTACCTTCTCGACACCATAACGGGGTGCGCACGGGGTGGTCTCTCGCTGCGGTCTCTATACGCGCCAGTCGTCCAGGCATAGCAGGCGTGGCACTTTCTCGACACCATAGGGGGTGCGCAGGGGGTGGTCTCTCGCTGCGGTCTCTATACGCGCCGGTCGTCCAGGCATAGCAGGCGTGGCACTTTCTCGACACCATAGGGGGTGCGCAGGGGGTGATCTCTCGCTGCGGTCTCTATATACGCGCCGGTCGTCCTGGCATAGCAGGCGTGGCACTTTCTCGACCCCCATAGGGGTTCGCAGGGGTGGTCTCGTCGCTTGCGGTCTCTATATACGCGCCGGTCGTCCAGGCACAGCATGCGTGGCACTTTCTCGACACCATAAGGGGTGCGCAGGGGGTGGTCCCTGAGCTCGGCCGCTATGCACGACGGTCGTCCAGGCACAGCAGGCGTGGCACTTTCTCGACACCACAGGGGGTGCGCAGGGGGTGGTCTCTCACCGCGGCCGCTATGCACGACAGTCGTCCAGGCACAGCAGGCGTGGCACTTTCTCGACACCACAGGGGGTGGCGCAGGGGGTGTCCCGAGCGCGGCTGCTATACGCGCCGTCGTCCAGGCATAGCAGGCGTGGCAATTTCTCGACACCAGAGGGGTGCGCAGGGGGTGGTCCCCTGAGCGCGGCTGCTATACGCGCCGGTCGTCCAAATGGCAGGCGTGGCACTTTCTCGACACCAGAGGGGGTGCGCAGGGGGTGGTCCCTGAGCGCGCGGCTGCTATACGCGCCGGTCGTCCAGGCATAGCAGGCGTGGCACCCTCTCGACACCAGAGGGGGTGCGCAGGGGGTGGTCCCTGAGCGCGGCCGCTATGCACGCCGGTCGTCCAGGCATAGCAGGCGTGGCACTTTCTCGACACCAGAGGGGGGCGCAGGAGGTGGTCCTTGAGCTCGGCCGCTATGCGCGACGGTCGTCCAGGCACAGCAGGCGTGGCACTTTCTCGACACCAGAGGGGGGCGCAGGGGGTGGTCCCTGAGCGCGGCCGCGGCGCTATACGCGCCGGTCCTCCAGGCACAGCAGGCGTGGTACCTCCTTGACACCAGAGGGGATGCGCAGGGGGTGGTCCCTGAGCGCGGCCGCTATGCACGACGGTCGTCCAGGCACAGCAGGCGTGGCACTTTCTCGACACCAGAGGGGGGCGCAGGAGGTGGTCCCTGAGCTCGGCCGCTATGCACGATGGTCCTCCTCCCTTCTCTCCTCTTCTCCTCCTCCTCCTTGCCCTCTACCTACTCTCCAGGAGGCCGACCTGGCTTGTCCGTGCTCGGCCGCCTTAGGTGTCTCGTGCTCGACCGACCTGACTTGTTCGACCGCCTTAGGTGTGGCGTGCTGGATCGATCTGACTTGTTCGACCGCCGTAGGTGTCTCGTGCTGGACCGACTTGACTTGTCCGACCGTTGGACAGTTCCGCTCTCGTGCTCGACCGCTTTGGGTGTCCCGTGCTCGCCCGCCATAGGTGTCTCGTGCTCGGCCGCCTTACGTGTCTCGTGCTCAACCGCCCTAGGTGTTCCGTTCTGGACCGACCTGACTTGTCTTTGCTCGGTCGCCTTACGAGTCCGGTGCTCGACCGACCTGGCTTGTTCGACCGCCCTAGGTGTTGCGTGTTCGGCCGACCGTGCCGTGCCGTGCGCGGCCGTGCAGGAGTTGCGAGGAGGAGGAGTTGAGAGGAGTGCGGAGGAGTTGTGAGGAGGAGGATTTGAGAGGAGTGCGGAGGTGTTCAGAGGAGCGCGGAGGAGTTGAGAGGAGTGCGGAGGAGTGCAGAAGGAGGAGTACAGAAGGATATGAGAGGATGGGTTGAGAGGAGTGCGGAGGAGTTGAGGGAAGTGCGGAGGAATTGAGAGGAGTGCGGAGGAGTTGACAGGATGGGGTGGGGCGAGGAGGAGGAGGACGAGGAGGAGGAGGAGGAGGACGACGACGACCACGAGTGCGGCGACGAATACAACGAGCACTACCAACACAACGAGTACGACGACGTCGAGTGCGACGACGACGAGTGCGACGACGAGTGCGACGA